ATGAATAGAATCACATAATATTTTTATTGTATCAAAATGGTGGTGGTGGTTATTAACCTGAATTCGCCATTCTAGTTGTTACATAAAATTAAACGCCTTATGAATTACTAAAAATGGAAATTCGGAACTAAATTTAATTCATTTGTGTTTTTGTACTAATACGTGTTACAAGAATCGCATAGATCATAAAAGTATACAATTCTTGATTCAAACCACAAGAAACTTCCAGATAAGAATCATTCAACAACGTTTCTAGAAATATAATTTCATCAAGATTCCTTTTAGGCGTAAATATCATAATATAGTATTTTACGGCATTTATACGGGGTTGTCTTGACTTTAAACTGAAATATCTGAAGGACATCAGATCCACATAAAAAATGCATATTTTCTTATGCCAGAATCAGAGCTTTCATCGCTCAATTGAATATCTTATCAGAAAATCGCTCCTGTCACGTAAGTTGCGCTCGAATTCAAAAAGCGAATTTTTTTTTTTTTGGTCTAAAATTACGGAATTTTTTACCGCATAATCTTTCCCCGCCAAAAAAAAATCCGCTTTTTGAATTCGATCACAATTTGTGAAACAGATTTATTAAGGTATTCTTATGACTGATCGAAATCCCTGGTTCTGGGCTTGAAGATATACGTGTTTCATCCGGTAAAATCGACAGATGTCGTAATATTACAAAGATTTACACCTAAAAAAAATTTCCAGATACTTGTTCTGCTGTTAAATGCATGGTATTTTACGAATATGTTTTTTTTTATTATATGTTATTTATAGAATAATTTTCTATAGCTTCAACCAGGCAGGTAGATGTAATGTCGACAGATACCGCAAGCAATAAAATGTGTAATTTATTTTTTATAATGTAACTTTTCTATAGTGAATTTTATTATAAAACATATATTTATGACTTAATGGATTATATTTTTAGAGACATCACAAACATCAGCTACCCTAAAATATGGATATTTAATTTTCGCTACAATTTTAAATTTAATATTCAAATTTATTTAAGCTCTTGCTTAATTTTAAATCTATATTTCATTTCATATTTGTTAACGTTAAAGAATAAAGAAATTAACATAATTAATAGATCGATAAAGCATTTATAAATAAATAAATGACAATAAATAATACTTATGAACTAGAATTTTTTTACGAATTTTAAAACTTCATAATTACTGATGGAAAATACATTGTGATTATAATTTCTCTAAGCGAATTTTCATAAAATTTCGATTTTTTACACAGGGTAAGACAATCTTTAGTAAAATCAGATACACGTGTTCTCAACATGAATTCTCCCTTTCCAAATCTTGGGATAAAAATGTATAGCACAGTTCTCATTTAAAACTCTACTAAGAATTGAGTTTTGAATACTATCATCTTTGAATGAAAATATAAAACTTCTATATGTTTTCAAATCACCGACTTTTGTTTTATCCCAAGCTAAAGGATTAAATCCACCAATAATTTCATTTGTTTTTTTTAACTTTAGCAACCACAATAGTATTGGAAAACCCATGACAAATATTCCAAAAATTTCTTGGTGCAAATTCATCTTCACTTCCTCGAAGGATTAATTGATATTCATAAGGATTATTAGTTAAACAATAGCTCGTTGATTCATCATCAATCCATGATGAAATCTCTGCCGCTTGTTCTTGGTTGATTATATTTGAAAATAATTCATCTATTCTTGATGGCAATTCTTGAGCTAAATACACTCTTGGTGGTATAACAATAGATTTTACTGGTCGATCTGAAAGAGTAAGATGCTGCTTCAAATCGTTCCACAATTGCTTATCAAGAATTATCCTATATGGCTTATTTTTATCCATAACGTCTGAATTTGAAATGTGAAAATAACGAATGAGTGGTAAGCATTGTTGTAGAGTTTTTTTTAAAGTTATAAAGTTTCATCAGTCCATCTTTCTAATTTTTCGGGTAAAGTAGGATTCTGTGCGGTTCCCCACTCAATTACATAATCCCAAATTTCCGATTCTTTCATCTGTAGGTCATCTCGTTCTAAAATAAAATAGACACTAAGACAGATTCACTAAAAGAAGTGAATTCAGTAGATTCGAAAATAAGTTTTGGATATCTTGTAACGATGTCGATACAACATCTTTTTAAATTTTCAAATTTGTTATTTTTAAAAATTGAATGGTAAACTAAGGAAAAATGAGTTTTTAACCAAAAGGTTTTGAATTCAATAAGATGACTTTCTATTATCATAGATAATTCCTTAAACTCCAGCTCATTAGCGGCAACCATCAATTCAAACGAAGTTTTAGTATCCATATTTTCGGTATCGATAATTCCGTCGTAGATATATTTGTATAAAATTATATTATGCAAAAAAATACTTTATCAATGCATAATATTTGAATTAAAAAAAATAAAATTATATAAAAAGCTTACTTGAGAATAATCTCAAATACTTGGCAGGGATATTTGGTTTAGTAATAGTTTTAATAATATCATTATTATTTTATTAAAGTAGGATGATCGATAACGTAAGATGCAATGAAGGTTTTTTTATTTGGTTCCTTATCAACTTCAATAATAACATTAGATTCTTCTTGATCATAAGGAAGTTCTGAAAAGTTTTGAGATAACTTGTCTAAAAATTTATATTTCATTTTTTTTTTTAGAATTTAAAATTTCTTTTTTGCAATTCAGAAGGATTACAAGTACAAACTTTAAATAAAAAACGCATAAGATTATAAATTTGGCTTTTGTTTGCAAATTTGGAAATACACGTTTTTCGTGCACGTTTTTTGTGCACGTAAAAAATGCATAAAAATGCATAAAATCTTATTTATTCACTTTTATGGACATAATTAGAATTTTTCTAATTAAAGCTGAAGCGGAAATATGATCGACTGCTAAAACTTGGCTTGATCGGCATATCGGCATAAGGATCATTGTAGTAAATTAGTTTATATTAATTTCAACAATATTATTTCAAAAACGATTCTGTGGGTTAAAATTTGCATAACATTTTTACGATTGTTTTATCCCACGTCCCTAATTAATCATCCATGATTTTTTATTGATATTTTCATAACTCCGATATTTTTATTTTGCTAAGTCTATTGAGTTTATTGCACCAGAATCATAAAAAATCATGGATGTAATATAAATCATCGAGTATTTCACTATGGATAAACTTATGTTTGAATGCATATTTTGTCATAAAAATAAATCAAAAATGTTAAAGTTAATTTTTATTCGTAAGTTCAAGATAACAATAATAGATCCAACCATCATATATTAATGTAGAAACAATGTTTATAACTTTACTTAGAACTGCTATTAATGGTTAATAGTGAAAATTAGAACTTCACTTAAACATATAAAATTTTAAATTGTAATTAAATGATAAAGATTTAGAACGTGCGGTAAATTCTTCATTAACAAAACAACTGAAGAATGAGAATATTGAAAATTTTACTACAAGTTAGCATATAATATATTATAAGCTTTCCTATGGTTCACAGTAAATGCTATCGCGTATGCATCTGTTGAAGGTGAGGGATGCCAGCGATGTGGTCAATTTTTTCCCCGCGAGGATTTCTGTTACACAAATCTCAACATGAATCACTCTATCAGAGTACTTGTTAACTCCAACGTCAATTAACAAATAAGCTAGGTAAAGTGCTTTGTCATTTAAAATTTCGGCGAGATAGGCATACTGTATAATCTATATATGTGGCTACATTAATTGGCTGACCATCATTAGTCGCTGAAATTTATTTAAAAATATTTCTAACTATCAAGATTGATATTGTACCTGTTGCAGCATCAAAGATGTAACTTTTATATCACCCTACTTGTCCATTAAGAATCCTACGCTACGCTCTGGACAACAAGCATAACTTACTGAAACAATATTTTTATTGTTTATCAGGAATACTGAGCATAAAATGATTTTAAACAGTTTATTTACTTTGAACTAAAATGAAGCAAAGTTTTATAATTTACAACTCAGATTTATTTTTTAAAAAAACTTTGTCTATTCGTAATTTTGTGATAGAAATTTATAAGAAATAAACTAAAATAAAAAGTAAAAAATAGCAAAAATAATGCGAAAAAAAAAATTTGACTACCAGGGTAAAAAAGTCTGCCATAAGGCTAAAAAGGTAATTTAGCTTTACGAAAATTAGGAAAAAAATATCTGAGTAAGTGGATAAATAATAAGATGGTGGAACAAGAAATAAATCCAATAAAAGAACGATATTTGAGAGAAGATTTTTTTCATAAATGTATTTTTTAACAATTCGGCGTGTTAGTTTCAAAGTTTTTTTAAAACTTGTTTTGTCGCCTTTGATACGTGACCACCAATAATTGTATCACCACCTCCACCCATAAGACTACCACCAATAACTTCGCAAATTTCCTTTGCTACTTCATTTCCACTCGTTTCTCCTACCTTCTTTATACAATATCCTTCCGCTACTACCGTAGCACCAAGGGTAGCAAGGGGAAGAGCAGCTCCACCAGTAGCAACAATTGCCGTCCCTACCGCCGCAGCTCCTGCTGCTTTAAATATAAATTTTTCGACCTCCCAAACTCCTTCCCAAAAGCCCATAGTTCGTTAAAAAAAATCGTTGGAGTTAGTAAGAAGGAAAAAAGCTGTAGTTGAAAAAAGAATAACAAAAAAAGGTTATTAGCAAACAACAAGTAAAAGTAAAAAAGAAAAGTAAATAGTTCATAAAAAAAAAACCTACAAATCTTATTTTTTTTTGACCACAAAGGTAGAATACAACAAATTAATAATGCTTGGGTGTAATTAAAATAAAGAAGTATCAAATTCTAAACCGAATTCTTCCAATTAATTATTTTTAAAAAAAATAAATTTTTTCTTTATATACACAATTGAATACTTAAAGAATACAATCTAGAAAATACTGAACTTCGTTTCTGCGGATTAGTCTGATCAACATGACGCCAAAATTCAGAAAAGGAAACATTGAGAATAGGATTAGCAAAATTTTATTGTCATTATTTCCTTTTCTGAATTTGGGCGGCACGTAAGGTCTGATCACAAAAAATATCATCAGATCGATTCAAGAGAACAAACAATGCCACAAGAGTAAAATAGTCGAACTCCAATTATTGAAAAAAATTAGGATTCTCACGTTTGATAACTGGTGGGAATAAAAATTGAAATAAAACTAGCCAATAATACAAATATGGTTTCTGTATGTAAAAAGTTCTGTTCCCATTATATATTTCCCAGGATATATGCATTACGTCTTAACTTGCCAAAATTTTTTTCTATTACCCACACATGAATAGGGTCAAGATTGGCAGTATCATATTTGTTATACATTTTCTAACTTTCTAATTGTCTAGAAAAATAAAAAATAGGGTGTGATCTAAGTAGAATAACTGTTAAAATAACAAAAATCTAAGAATTATTATATTATTTAACTTAATCGAAAGAGTGAAATTAATGCCAGCAGCCTTTATATGCGATAAATTTACCCTTTAGTAATATTACTTGCCCAATTTCAAAATCTTCTATATTGGTCTCAATTTCTTAGTTTAGCAGAATAAAGACTTTTATACATAAATAAATAATTTCAGCACTTAATCTCGAAGCTGCGATTATTTCTTTTATAATGAATTCGTTTGTATTTAGTTCATTACAGTCATGCACGTAATTTGTTGGCATTCTATAATAATATAAAAATAATGATATTGATTGTTGAATAATTATTAATTTATAAATTATTTAAATTATTTAATTTTTTATTCTTAATTAAATTATTTTTTTTAAAAAAAGTATTAATCCTTCGTACTTCGTTTAAAAACTATATAGATCAAAAAAAAAAAAATAAAGAAATAAGAAAATTGTTTTTTAAAAAATCTTACGATATTTATTTTATTTTATTTTTTTCAGAACGTTGGAATGCACATGAAAATCGAAGAGTAATTATTTTTTTTTGTCAATAATATTTTTTTTTGTCAATAATATTTTTTTTTTATATTTTTAATTGTAAAATAAATGAAAAAAAATAATATAACTAATAATCTTCGTTCGTTTAAAAATTAAGTGGATCGATAAAAATAAAGAAATAAGAAAATCTAAAAAAGATTGAAAATCGAGGAGTAATTATTATTTTGTTAAAAAAAATATTTATATTTAACTCGTAAATATGAAAAAAAAGAATATTTCAGTAATAATTATCAAATAATTAAAGTTTGGTAGATCGAAAAAAAATAAATCATTTTTTTTAAAAAAAAAATTCGTACACACCTTATTTTTATTTTTTTTTTCATTCACGTGTAAAAAGAGGAAAATTCAAGAAGTAATTGTTTATTTTTGTTTAAAAATATTTATATTTAATTAATTTTTTGTAACTTAAAAAAAGAATACGTAAGTATTTCAAAGTTTAATTTGATCATTAAAAATTATTTTTTTTTTCTATTTTTTATTTATATTGTCATTAATCATAACAAAAAAAAATTATTTTTTTACTATTTATTCGATTAATTAATATTAAATTCTCGACCTTTTTTTTCCATTTCGGGTCACAAAAAAGAGTATTTTTTAAAATCTTTTGCTTAAGTCTTCCCAATTGGAAGAAAACATTTCGTGCCGTGACTTCACTGAAAAAGGAATAATATTGAGCTAGAATTCTATACTACAATAATTTGTAATAATTAAAATAATAATCATTAAAATAATTGTTAAAAATATTAACTACATGAGAAGCTTAAATTTCATGTGAATAAATAATTTAAGATCAAATAAAACCTATATTAAAAGTAATAAAATAATAAAAAAAATATAATTTTAAAAAAATTCTTATGGGAATGACAAACAAAGTAGCGAAAGAAAAAAAGTGTCTAATTCTGACATGGTAAATAAAAATGGAGAGAGCAAAAAGTTCATAAGTATTTGATAGATTATCCTTGTTTTTGGTCACAAAGAAATATAAAGAGAGTATTATATTAATTTAAATTATAGAAAAAGAAACTCCACCACAATTATGCTTCATTTTCCTTTTTGTATTAAATATATGTATTCATTAGCTGACACATTGTAAATTCCTAAAAAATGTTTCCTCACTTTTGAACAAAATTTAATTTGTCCCAACTCTTTACTTAATTTTGGAAGATTCTATATAGATATTTTAGATATTGTATAATTATCATATATTTATCATATAGTAATATAATGAGAGATATGTGTTAATAATAATTCAAACTTTATACAATAAAATTATATCAAGCCCATCTTTATTTCACATGTAACAGGAACTTTTCACCCTTCCCATAATTCCTTAAGTTCATCAACTATCAGAGATAGATAATGGTTTATTTGGTTTTTATCAGCTTCCTTAGGTCCAGGTAGAAAGCCTAAATAAATAATATTTTTGGATTTATTTCTTTCTGCCCTTGGAAGATTACATATCAAAGCATAAATAGCACCAGTGCTATATTGTGTATATTTAAAGGGTTGGAACCAGTCAAAATTTATTAATAGGCCTAAATTCGAGGTAGCAGTTTCTTGACTAAAAAATTTGCTTCCATCAAAAGGAAACGTATTCCATACTTTTCCATCATATATATCAGCATAAATATTATTATTGTAATTTCTTGTGCCTGATTGTTCTGGCATTTTTTTTGAAACCAGATCTTTAGTACAAGAGACTTAATTGTTACTTAATTGAGGGCTTAGGGTATAGCATTCAGGAAATAGCTACCATATTTTTCATATTTTTTTGAGGAAGAAAGTTCATTATTGCATAACTTCTTATAGGAAGATACCAGATTATTAGGATATTCTTCATAACAACAATTCATAATGGTCAACTTATTTTTTTCTTTATAATTGCATACAATCTTAGAATCATATAATTTATAAAAGTGTGTACAAACTGCCATCCTTAATTTTGGTTGAAAAATTCCTAACTTCTTTTTTGCTAAAACAAAGACACAGGAAACTTCCAGAACTTAGAATTATCTATAGATTTGAGCATAACATTTAAAAATTTAATTAATGCCTCCAGGGCATTATTAGAAACTTAAATAACCAGATAAGTATCTCTATATCTATCTTATTTTCTAGTTCTTCTTCATAATTTTGTTCTCTTCTTCTAGCTCAGGTGTAATAAATAAATTATTTTCTTCAAATACTTCTTCATACTCATTTTCTGATTCTACATTCATATCTAATTCTTCATCACCTTCTCAGTCATCAATCAATTCATTATCATTATCATTATATTCTTCAAGGTCATCAATTAATTCATTACCATCACAATATTCTTCAAATTTATCAATTAATTCATTGTTTTCATTGTTTCATTATCACCTAAATTACACAAAAGCATATCATCAAATATATCATGAGTCTCTTCTATAAGTGAATTATGAAATTGATCATTTCTAGATCATGATGATGATGCCACAATGATTTCATCATCAAGTTCAATCTCTGAAAGCATATTGTGTATTGATGTATCCCTTTTTAACTTAGGTGAATGAGCAGTTTCTTCATCTGGAATGAACTGTTGGAAGCTTTGTTTTCTTTTCTTGCTACTTATGATTAATGATACATCTTCATTTTCTAAGAAAGGTAATAAATGTTACACAAAATAAATGTATCTTCAATGTATCTAATTTATTTTAATAAATAATTTTTATAGATAAAAATATTGAAAGAAATTTATCAAGTAAGTGAAAATACATTATATTATGATGAAATAATTATTATATGAAAATAATATCAATATTTTATTATATTATTTTTATGATATCAAAAATATCAAAGAGTAATGTAATTCTTAAAGATTGACTGTCCAAAAAATAGAATATATAAAGAATTACTTTTTTCTTCATTTTTTTAAAAAATATTTATTTTAATTAAATTAGAATTAAATTAGATAGTATTATCTATGTAAACCTTCTACAATTTACAAAACAACAGGATTATACTTGCATGCATAATTATTTTGGAGCCCTGAAATTGTAATTTTGGAGAAAAAAGTCAAAATAGTTTTTCATAGAAGACGAAATTATTTTACTTAAAACCTGAAATTTTTTGACCACCCAGA